CACACTCATACACAATGACAAGGAAAAAAATAAAATAATATAGAAAAATACATGTTGTATGACTTAACCAATCAGTAAACTCTTATAAAATCAGCTTTTATGGAGCATATGTTTCAGGATTTTTTGTTTTTGGGTAGCTGGGTCTCCAGAATAAAATGTATTTTTAACAACCTGCTGTCAAAGAACAAGCAACATTGCTTTAAGGAACACAAAAAAAAGCAATGAAAGGAGAATATAGAAATTCAATAGTTTGAATATAGCTTATTAATGAGGTAAAACCTTTATCTTAAAAACGTGCTCTGTCTATAATGTTAATCTTTCTTTAAATTTGAGGAATTCGTGAGAAACAGATCAAAAACCAACCAAGTCATTGTTTAGAAAATTGTCATAAGTACTGATCTATTAAAAATAAATGTAATTTTTTTTTATTCTTATGCCATCAGAAACGGTTTTGTTTGGGGAGTTGTTTAAATACAACAACAGCTGCTTCTGGTTCAGGTACACATAGGGTTAAAAGCTTGGCATTATACAATAACCAGGTGCGAGACATATGAGTGCCAAGTAGTTAACCAACACAGTCTTATAATTAATCCCTGAGGTTACAGGAAGCAAGTGGAGAAGAGCCAAGTTGGGTGTTAGAAGTTTTCCTTCCTCTGTCCTCGTGGGCAGTCTGCTCGGAGGAAAAGACGTGGCCAAAWGTTACAACAGCAGGAACAAGAAAACAACGAGCTGTGGCTTTTGAATGTATCACAAACCACGACAATAAGAGAAAAAATGATCCAAACCCGGATCTGAGTTACCATACGAGGGAGGTTTCTGGGATTTTTGCCTTTAACAAAGAAGCATGAAAACCTTTTATCTTTACATTAAAGCAACGTCTTTACCACTGTTTAAAAATGACTGTCGACGCAGGTGAAAGTCTATTTAAGATTCTTAATCTACATTTTATTACAGGAAATGTTAGAAAAGTGAAGCTGTACACCAGAGGATAGCTGACATTAACGCATGCATTAAAGCATTTGAGTTCAGTGACATCAAACGAGCCTCCTAATGATGAATTGAAACAAGCATGAAACAGAAGAACAAGAGTACTGCACCTTATACACTCGTCAACAAACTACTATACATCAATAGCCCGAACAATCAAAGACCTTGTTTAACCTTTGACCTTCATCTTGAAGCTGCGATGATGAAGTGTGTACATGACAAGAGAGAGTTTACGAATGTACAGACAGAGACTATACAGTACCATGATACGCCCGGCTTCGACAAGGGCATAAAAATGTTGAAAAGTAGGATTTGGATGCTGAGCGATGTAATAATTTTGGATGAGATAAAGGAGTTGTACATTTATTGCATCTTTTCTACCCAATCAGGCTACTCAAATCATTTTATCTACCAATATAAGCTAGGGGTGTAAATCGCCAGCTTTATCATATACTTTATCATACGTTATTACATCGATATGTTTGGATGACGATTCGATATTTCTCCATTTCACAAAGTCTGTCACGATACGATTTCAATTCACATGTCTGCGATCAATATAATGTGACATCATATGCCCATCTAACACAATGACTGTGTTAGATGGGCATATGATATCAATTCACATTGAGAATATGATGACGATATAGATCAATATTTTCATTTTGCCTCAATATAACTGAATCATGAACCATTCAAATCGATATATCGATACAGATCGATGTATTGTTACACCCCTAATATATGCCGTCATTCACTTTTTTGTTTAAAATTAGCTCATATTAGTTTTTATTGAGAAGCAATTGTTGCTAATATTGGTAAAAAGAAAATCATGATTAATAATAGCATTTAGTTGATAACAATGAATTTAATATAATTTAAAGATTTATTTCCTGGAGAAATATGTAAACGTATGAATTGTTGTTCAAACAAGACCCCCCCGATCTGAACCCGAGCGGTGTTTTGTTATTGCACTTCTGTGCTCCTAATGGATTGTCCATAACRAACACCATGTTCAAGCATAAGGGTGTCCATATGTGCGCTTGGCACCAGGACACCCTAGGCCGCAGTTCGATGATCGATTTTGTCATCGTTTCATCGGATCTGCGGCCGTATGTCTTGGACACTCGGGTGAAGAGAGGGGCGGAGCTGTCAACTGACCACTACCTGGTGGTGAGTTGGCTCCGCTGGTGGGGGAGGATGCCTGTCAGACCTGGCAGACCCAAACATATAGTGAGGGTCTGCTGGGAATGTCTGTCAGAGTCTCCCGTCAGACGGAGCTTCAACTCACACCTCCGGCAGAACTTCGAACGCGTTCCGGGGGAGGTGGGGGACATTGAGTCCGAGTGGGCCATGTTCCGTGCCTCAATTGTCGAGGCGGCTTACCTGAGCTGTGGTAAGGTTGTCGGTGCCTGTTGTGGCAGCAACCCTCGAACCCGCTGGTGGACACCGGCGGTGAGGGATGTTGTCAGGCTGAAGAAGGAGTCCTATCAGGCCTTTTTGGCCTGTGGGCCTCCGGAAGCAGCCAATAGGTGTCGGCAGTCCAAGCAGATTGCGGCTCGGGTGGTCGCTGAGGCAAAAACTCAGGCGTGGGAGGAGTTCGGAGAGGCCATGGAAAACGACTTCCGTACGGCTTCGAGGTGGTTCTGGTCCACCATCCGGCGTCTCGGGGGTTGGGAAAGCGGTTTGCCACCAACACTATTTATGGTGGGGATGGTGCACTGCTGACCACAATTTGGGACATTGTGAGTCGGTGGGCAGAATACTTCGAGGACCTCCTCAATCCTACCGACGTCTTCCCATGAGAAAGCAGAGCCTGGGGAGCCTGGGTCCGACTCTCCAATCTCTGGTGCCGAGGTCACCGAGGTGGTTAAAAAGCTCCTCGGTGACAGGGCGTCRGGGGTGGATGAGATTCGTCCCGWGTTCCTTAAGGTTCTGGATGTTGTGGGGTTGCGTTGGTTGACGTGACTCTACAATATTGCGTGGACATCAGGGACAGTTCCCCTGGATTGGCAGACCGGGGTGATGGTCCCCCTATTTAAAAAGGGGGACTGCAGAGTGTGTTCCAACTGTAGGGGGATCACACTTCTGAGCCTCCCTGGTAAGGTCTATTCGGGGGTCCGTCGGATAGTCGAATCTTAGATTCTGCAAGAGCAGTGTGGTTTTCGTCCTGGTCGTGGAACAGCAAACCAGCTCTACACCCTTAGCAGGGTCTTGGAGGGTGCATGGGAGCTCGCCCAACCAGTCTACGTGTTTTGTGGACTTGGAGAAGGCGTTCGACCATGTCCCTCGGGGACTCCTGTGGGGGGATGGTACTCCGGGAGTATGGAGTACCAGGCCCATTGATACGGGCTGTTAGGTCCCTGTATGACCRGTGCCAGAGCTTGGTCCGCATTGTCAGTAGTAAGTTGGACTCGTTTCCGGTGAGGGTTGGACTCCGCCAAGGTTGCTCTTTGTCACAGATTCTGTTCATAACTTTTAAGGATAGAATTTCTAGGAGCAGCCAAGGTGTTGAGGGGATCCTTTTGGTGACCTTAGGATTGCATCTCTGCTTTTTGCGGATGATGTGGTCCTATTGGCTTCATCGGATCGTGATCTACAGCTCTCACTGGAATGGTTTGCAGCCGAGTGTGAAGCGGCCTGGATGAGGATTGGTGCCTCCAAATCCGAGACCATGGTCTTGAGCCGGAAACCGGTAGCGTGCCGCCTCCGGGTCGGGGAGGACGTCCTGCCCTAAGTGGAGGAGTTTAAGTATCTCGGGGTCTTGTTCACAAATGAGGGAAGAATGGAGCGGGAGATCGACAGGCGGATTGGTGCTGCGTCTGTAGTGATGCGGGTGCTGTACCGGTCTGTCGTGGCGAAGCGGGAGCTGAGCCAGAAGGCAAAGCTCTCGGTTTACCGGTCATTCTACGTTCCTACCCTCATCTATGGTCACGAGCTTTGGGTAGTGACCGAAAGAACGAGATTGCGGATACAAGCGGCCGAAATGAGTTTCCTTCGCAGGGTGTCTGGGCTCTCCCTTACAGATAGGGTGAGAAGCTCGGCCATCCGGCAGGGACTCAAGAGTAGAGCCGCTGCTCCTCCACGTTGAGAGGAGCCAGCTGAGTTGGCTCGGGCATCTGGTKAGGATGCCTCCTGGACTCCTCCCTGGTGAGGTGTTCCAGGCATGTCCCACTGAGAGGAGGCCCRGAAGAAGACCCAGGTCACGCTGGGGGGACTATGTTTCTCGGCTGGCCTGGGAACGCCTTGGGATTCCCCTGGACRAGCTGGCCCAAGTGGCTGGGGAGAGGGAAGTCTGGGTCTCTCTGCTTAGGCTGCTGCTCCCGCGACCCGATCCTGGATAAGTGGCAGAAAATGGACGGACGGACTTTAAATAAATCTAATTATTGCTAATTCTCTACCATTGCATTACAGCTGCCTATATTCTCACTACACGACTTGCGACTTGATCCTTGGTTCCATGTGATTTATTAACTAAAACACCTAATTTAATAGCTGAGTGTCTGTAAAACTGACTGTGATGTAGCCATGTTTGCATWCACTGTGGCTGAATAGCTGTGGTGTACATCTTGAATAAAGTTTTGAGTTTCATTTAAGTCCATCCATTTAGTAGATTCAAGTGTTAACAAATAAATGGATTATCAATATTTGAGCCAAGACTTCCTGTTCTTTGCAAGGAATGCAAAAAATAAAAATAAAAAGGCTAAACTGTTGAGAGAGTTTACATCAGTCCAAGACAGTTTTATCACTTTCTAACACAGGGGTTCTCAAACTGGGGTCCCAGGACCCCTACGGTTCCACGAGAGGTATCTTGGGGTTTCACAAAAAAATTCAATAAATAGTTAATTTGGTTTTTATTTTTAAAAATGCATGGAGAACAATGAACTAATAAAACAAACATAATAAACTTAACAAAAATATATATTCCCRTGGAATTAGCTTGGGGTTTATGAGGGGGTCCCTGGAATTTTTTCGCCCCAGACCCAAATGGCTTGAGAACTCCTTTTCTAACAGATAATAACTATACTGTTTAGAACTACATGGTAAACTAGATTATAGCAATGAAACAGAAATGGGCAGAGCTAAATAAAATGGTAGCTTTGCTAACCGATATATCTGCTAATTAAAAATTAGCAATGCAAACTCTAAACCGTTAAACAAGGTGTGCAGTGCCACATACGAGAAGTGGTTCTCAAACAGTTTACCTGGATAAATAAAAGGTTAAATAAATAAATAAATAAATAAATAAATAAATAAATAAATAAATAAATAAGCGGTTAGGGTTTTTAAATTTTTGTTAGTTTTAAAGTTAGAGCTAAATTTAGCAAGGTAACTGGTCTGCTAATGATTTCCAAAGTTAGCAAAAATGCTAATCCACTAAACRAAAAGTTAGCTTCACTATTAGCTGTTAGCAGAATACCAGAACTGTGTCAACCACTGCATGAAAGTTGTCTTGTAAATTTAAGTCAGACTGCATGAACTGAAATGTCAGTAAATTGTAATACAATCATGGAAAAAAAGAACATAATTTACCTCCTGAGACAGGTGCATCCATAAAAACAGCCCCCAACTTCTCAGCAGCAGAAGCCATCTCTTTAGAAACAGCTGGGTCAATTGTGCTGGAGTCAATAAGCAGGGAGCCTTTCTTTACTTTCCTGGTAAAAAAAAAAGAAGAACTGATTGGTACATAGGATCAAAAATTGCGCATTTATAATCACAATAAAAACAATGTACTTAAGAATGCCATTGGGTCCTGTGTAGACATCCATGACATTGGGACAAGAGGGCAGCATGGTGATAATTCGATCCGCTTTGTCTGCTACTTCTGCAGGATTATCCACAATCTGCAGAAATCCAACAACATTAAGATTAAAAATATATGTGTTTGAAAATATTCAAAAACTGAATCATGCCCATGAGTTTGAGATGTCTAACCTGAGCACCCAGCTCTTGCACCTCTTTGCAGGACTCTGGGAACACGTCTGTAGCAATAACTGGGTAKCCATGCTTCAGCAGATTCTTTGCCATGGGGTTTCCCATGTTTCCCAAACCAACAAACCCAACCTGTGTCTTTGAGGCCAAACATCTTGTGGAAACTGAAACATGAAATGGACAAATTATAAAAAAAACTATCATACTTTAAACGCATACACACGTGTTTCTTTCCTTTTCTATAATTAAATTTAATAAATTCTTTATATATTTCAAGTGCTTGTGCTATGCTGTACACCAATTCACTCCTGTACAGCCACCTGGGAGAGGCTGTGCAATATTGTACTTCAAYGACAAAGCTTCATTCATGAACATTTATTGTGCCAAGACTTAAATAGGRTATGAATAATGAAGTGAAAGGCACGCATGTAATAAGAAAATGACTGCTTAATAAAGGATTTTATACTTAAAAATGACTTATTTTTTTTGCTCTTGAATTTTCATGATTTTTTTATTTGAGTTATAATTGTAATTGTATTTTTATGCACCWAGGAGCATCTCCTTTAAAAATCCTTTAATATTAGAGCAAGAATATAATTTATTTGAACCCAGTGCTGGCTTAAAAACATTTAATGGGGGACCTATCGGACAATTGGTGTGGATTAGTCACTGCAGAAAAAGATGTTCCTAATGTGAATTTCAACATATCCAACTTCAGAAATCACAGGAAAGTTCAGTTAAAACTTGGAAGACGAGTGGAAATGTTAAAAATGTTGGTGTTTTTACCGTGTCTTATAGCTTAGCTTGCTGCATCTATCATGTGACTATTTTTAATCACTCGAGCCGCTGTTTCTGTATTTTTTTAAAGAAACTTAATGATGATGTTTAGAATTTCTGTAAGTATAATATTATTAGAATATGTGTGACTGACTGCGGTGGAAAGCTGTATGAAGCTAGCATGGATGCTACGAGTAAAACCAGTGGTGGGATGTAACTAAGTACAAGTACTTTCTTGCTGTACTTAAGTACATTTTTCATGTATCTGTACTTTACTTAAGTAGATTTCATCATGGGTACTTTTGACTTTTACTCCACTACATTTTACATTAAGTATCTGTACTTTCTACTCCACTACATTTCTGTAATGCATTGAATTACAAAGTACATTCATGTCACGTCGATTTATTTTTAATTTTATTTGTGGTTTATTTGATTTTTTTGTTAGAAAATAATCAGTTGCGAGAGGGGGAATTGCTGTAATTGGTCCATCGAACAAAGCAGGAAAGTACCATTACAACCTCCTTCATAAAAAAGCAGAGCATCAACATGCCCACAATGGTTTCCACCACAGAGGAAATGTGCCATTCATGGCCTTATTTAACTGGTTCAAAAAAAGACTTGTTGAGATTTGATAGAGGAGGTTGGTGGTGAATTTACATCTTCTGCAGCTGTTGTCACAATATGTGATGGTGCAGAATCACAAGTCCAAGTGTGAACAGTGTCACAGAGTATAAACACAAAACTACGCATTATCTGCAGCATTGTTCACTAAAATGGCACCAGTGATGTATTAAAATATACATACATTAGGCACACTTCATGATATTGTAGACCATTAGGGAATACATTAAGCAAGTACTTTTACTTTTAATACTTTAAGTATTTTTAAAAGCAAGTACTTACTAACTTTTACTCAAGTAAAATGTTAATGTGGTACTTTTACTTTTACTAGAGTACATTCTTGTCTGTTTATCTGTACTTTTACTTAAGTACAGTGTTTGAGTACTTTCTCCACCACTGAGTAAAACTAGCAGTAGGCTACAGTAAAAACAATATAAGATTTATTGTACCGGTTTATCGACAGAAAGTTTCTTGTTTCAAGTTTAAGTTATCTTTAACATCTACATGGGACAATTTGCGTTACAGCCAGCAGGGAAAAAAAGCATTCATCAACAATAAATACAGTAAATACTATCATGGTATAGGCATATTTACTACATATTTTCTAACAAACACACACAACAAGAAGTATTAAAAAGGTCAATAACAGCAGGTAAGAATGAATTCTTAAATCTGTTGGTTCTACATCTTTTTACAGCAAATCTGTATCCTGATTGTAAAAGAGAAAACTCTGTGAACATGGGGTGGTTAGGTTACCTGGGAAGAAAATAATATTGTGCCTATTTTCAGGTGTGTTTACATTTTGTTTATAAGTAAACTGTGGTTTTAAAAAAATCAGCACTCGAAAAACAGCTGCAATGGGTACACACTATTTTACATTTATTTTGAAAGGCTGAAACTGTCTAATGAATGTGTAGCCCAAAAAAACCACTGCACCTGACAAAACATTTCATCATATAAAAGGACACACAACCAAATGTTCATAATGGTTTTCTTTCAGTCATGAACAGGCAATAGAGTCACAGTAGCTGAAAATAGGAGACTCTGGCAAAAGAAACTAAACAAACAAATAAAAACCGAAACACAGCTATAATTGTGACAAAAGCCCTTGAGCTCAACAGCTGAACTTCTGAAAAACAATTAGGTAACACATGGTTTTGTGTTGTAAAAATGATACCTTCAAACAACTCATTGAGCTTCAAAAAATAGCCAACGCACTTACACGCTGCGTATGAAATGTTAGTTTGTCGTCCTTACCGTACGCAAAATCATGTTTGTTGCACCTTCCCACCAGATACCGAAATCCCCTCAATGCAGCCGCCATGCTTCTTTCCTTTTGACCTCACGTACGACGTCACACTGCACGTACAAAATTGACGTACAGCCTGTCCAATCAGAATGAAGCTCTAAGTAGGATTCAGCCAGTGAGCTGGGAGGGAGGGGCTACGAATAAGATCTTATAAAATGGCATTATTATCCACGGTGGCATGAGCAATTTACATTATTCTGTTCATCACTAACATAACTAAGTGAAAATACGTTATACCATGGAAGAAACTTTCATACCCAAAAATGTAATAACATTTAAGACAAAAATAAATTTATTGCGCATAAAAGTAAAACGCAAAGCCAGATTAAAAAAAAAAATCTTATGACAGACGGTTCTAACGGCAAGTGCTGAAAGAAAGATAGTCCTACATACAATTGATTTTTTCTTTATTAAAAAGTTATTACTGTTATAAAAAATATCCCCAGGTGTGAGAAATTATATTTATATTATAATGTTTTTGTTTCATTTTTTTTGAGCAGCCCCCTTCCGGAAATGATGTAATGTTTTTATTATTCCAGGAAAAGGACACGCGAAAGCCCTGAACTGCGTCAACAATTGTTTCTATGATACATTTGGGATTTTAGCCGACGTTTGGCATGGCAGCAAGGTATGTTCAATGTATATTTTCTAAAGATTACGACAAACGCGGCTTTTAATAATCATATAATTTCAAAACGCGTTTAAAAGTAGCTCGACGAAGGCCGTCGCGAACTGTTTACGTTAGCCATAACCTTGTCGAGCTGTCCAGTTAAACAACCTGGCTTGTTAAGTTATCCCGTTAAATGAGCTAACCTGGTGCGTTTTAAGACTTTTGAGTTAATCTTTTCTTAAGTCGTCAAACATCATAACACGTCTGTTACTGTGTGATTAAATGGCAATGTGTTTTTCAAAGTGTTAAGCTAAGGCTAGCTTTCCAGCTAACTAGCAACAACATAGCTACGTTACCTATGAATTGTTTTTAGGCCTCACCTGAAACTTGAATGCCATTTGACACTTCAGCCTTTTCATCTATTTGTATGTTATGTTATGTTGGTAAATTGTTATAAGTGAAAACTTGCCTCACTTTCAGACCATTTTCCGTCCCAGGCCTCGTCGAGTAAAATATCGGACAGAGGCCTACTAACAAGGAAACTCCCTGCTGATGACAAACTCTCCGTCTTACGTTGTGGTCTCGTTTTCAGTGTAATGTTTAAATTTAACTATTTAGTTTGATAACTTGTTTGTCAAATAATATCATTATGTTCCAATGTCCTTGATTGAGTTTAATGGCATTGATAAATTTAAATGAATTGTTATTTTGAGATATGAAGTAATTAAAATAGGATTTTGAAAAAGTAATGTAATATACATCATTTTCAAATTACTGCACAAGTCATATTTTATTTTCTTTAGACACAGGCATTCAAAGCAATTTGAGTTCTTGGTTATTTAGAGTGCTGTCAAAACTATTGTCTGTTCTGGAAATATTTTTGTACGAGTGTTGTTAAAGCTGTTATACAAGTCCACTCTGCTAATATGTCTTACTAAGTAAATTTTTGACATTTTAAAAAAGATCCCTAAACCATGTCTAATCTGTTTTATAGTTAACAAGTTTAACAGAGCAACATAGCTTGTAACCTTTATTGTTCTGTCATAGTTGTCAAATTGTTAAATGTTGTAAACGTTTTTCTACTTAATGATTGCATTTTAAATATGTATAGATCAAGAAATACATTTCTACTTTTTTGATTGACAATATGGCAACGATCATTCAAATTGACAGCATTGGTCCCTATGCTTTAATCAAATCTTTTATTTATTTTTTTCTTTGTAGGCACTGCTGAATAATTCATGGCTTTGTACCTGGACGGGAATTTATTGAGCAAAAACATGGACACGTCGAACTTTGCTCATGTCATCTTCCAGAATGTGGGGAAAGGTTACCTGCCTCACGCTGCCCTGGAGTGTCACTATACCCTGACACAGTTCATCAAACCACACCCAAAGGATTGGGTTGGCATATTTAAGGTGAACATCTTCTTCACTTCTGAAAAAAAGTGAACAAAAACTACAAACTTTTGCCAGAGAAGCAAATAAGTGTGTATTCTGGTTCTGTGATTATTGCAGTTTAATCTTTTACTATCTTGTATTTTGGCTCTCTAGTTGAAATGTGTTATATATAAACCCAATATGTTATAGGGCTGTGTATTGGCAAGAATTTGATGATACGATACATATCATGACAGACGGGTCACGATACGATATGTCCCGATATATTGCGATACTGTAAGCAAGGTGATATATTGCGATATATTGCAATTTTTTTTGGTCCAAAAATTCTGTTAAATAAAAACCTCTTACTGGAAAAAAAATGAAAAACCAAAATTCATTGTCTCAGAAAATTCTGTTACATAGACATGCGCTAGCCTTCTGTAACGTGAAAGCTGACTAAAGTTGGAAAAAAGAGCGCACGAGACACTTAATTTGGTTTAAAATACAGACCTTCTGACAAATAAGTAACTGTTCGTAACCTTACCTCAGCTTAGAAGGCAGAAGGTGTCGGCCTTTTCTGCTCAGATTCAGCTATCGGAGCATGAAGCTAATGTTAACTCACAATGCTAATGCTACCCTTACTCTCTGGTGCTCAAGAGGTAGAGGRGCCAAATGKCTGGCTCACTGCTGCCAACTAGTGGTCAGAGGCTGAACTACAACATAAAAATGAACGGCTGGCAGGAAAGTTGACATTTTAAACCTTAATTAAATATCGATACAGGACTTTAGAATATCGATACATTATCGGGAAATGAAATATCGCGATATTTAAGTGTATCGATATTGTCTTACACCCCTATTATGTTATAGATTGCCTTAAAAAGAGTTAAACTACAAATTCAGTCTTAAGAGAACTCCGTACAGAGGCAGTAATTCATATTAGCCATGTCTAAAATGTAGTAGGCTCTTCTTGACCAACATGTAAAAAAAAGTGCTACGCATGTGACTCTACATGTGTCAGTCTGGTGTTGTAAAATGTCTGCTGCAATCTCTAAAACCAAATGTATTAATTATGGGTATTGTTGTAGGACAGGAATCACCATCCTTTTGAGACTGAGAGCTACTTCTGGGTTACAGAGAAACAGGAGCTACTTGTTTGACATAAGCATAAATTTGCATGACCTACCTTCAATTATAGTAATAGTTTTATATATAACTTGAATATTTGACTGCCTGATAGTCTTAATGTTAATGACTCCTTGTGATAATCATCAGTAATTATCATAGTAAATAATTAATAATTACAAGTGATTAGAACTCTGTGTGCAGGAGCAGATGAATCTGGGTCCAGTGTTCTCAGTTTGAATCACTTTGAAGCTCCCCTGTGTGACCCTAGGTGTGATGATGCCTGGATTTACGGTGTTTTGAGTTCACAAACAAGTACTTAATTTTTTAAAAGTTGAGGGACATTACATTAGCTCGTACCGCTAATCAGCGCTAACAGATTCGCACAAGTGCACCTCGCTGCAGAATGCAGAAAGGGGCGAGGTCGGGTCAGTGTCAAACTGATACCATATATGGTAATTGCACCATTGCATTCTGTAAATAAAGGGGGCGCTGTTTCCTATACTAGCAGCAGATTATTATGTTTTCTTTTTTATTGATATTAATTGATTTTTGTCAGGTCTGCCAGGTTGTGAATAAATCCACCTGCCCAACAGTTTACGGGAGCTACTTCTGTTTTATTCAGCCTCTACATAAAACAGACAATTCTGTCAAATTACACTGACTTACAGTAACTAGTAGAGGCACTTCCGGTTTTAGTAATTTGATATTTTAAAATAAGTCCGCTTCACTACAGTCAGAACAAAACATTACCAGTCCGTTAAAATCTATGAAGCAAACAATTTTCAACTAAACTATCATAGGTTATTCCTCATTTTTAACACAATATTATCTGAAGATTGTTTAACAAATATTGGAAAAAAAACTAAAACAAATAGATTTCGTTTTTTTCCCCAAAAGAAATATTTTTTAGAAAAATCATGAATGGTAGTCTAGAAAGCAAATTTAAAAAGTAAAGTTAATGTTAATATAAGCAGATTGTTTTCATTTAATTCTCCAAAAATAGGAAAACCATTTAATGTGGCTTGAATAATGGTAGGGAAACGCTGAAAGTCTTGGATTCCAATAGGATGTACAAGCAGATTGAACAAAAAGCCAAATATTCTAATGCAAATTCTGAGCAAATGCATTTTTTTAATTCCCTCCAAAGGTGACAATATTTTTATTGTCTTGAATTGAAAGTTTAACTTAAGTTAGTTGAGTTTCTTTTTATTTTTCTGCTTCTTTTTTGGGGAAAAAATCAGAATGTAATTTATTTGTTGCCTCATGATTTGTGAATGTGTAATTACAAAGGTTTGCAGAAACCCTCAGAAAGAATCGAGTTCGGGTTACTGGAGGGTGTTTAAATTCTAGATCAAGCACTGCGTTTTAGCTGGATTGCTCGGTGCTTTGTGAATAGCCTCCAGGTACACAACTGGCAGTGTCAAAACTTAAAATAAGTAGTTTCCAAGTTACAAAGCTTTGTTGGAAAATGTTGAGTGTTGGAATGTAAATCATGTAAATCTTTTTGTGGGTGCTGACAGGCAAATTGTTTGTTGCCAACCACTTTTATTTTCGTAGATGGATGTGCTGTGCGTCGAGTTGGGTTTTGTTTCTTTTGTAAGAAACTGGGTTGAATCAGTTTCTTTGATCCTTATCATCTTTATGATCCAATGTTCAGGTTTTATGATAACATTTAAAATGTCTTACAGTTCAGCTAACTTAAATGGGATTTGTCAGTATGTTGGATTTTGTTATAGGACTCCCCCCCCCTTTTTATTTAAACAAATATAATATGCACTAGAATAAATTCTGCAGCAATCATCAGTGATAAATGGATATGAGAAAAGTTCTTGTTACCAGATAAACTAAAGCGAGACACAGATTCTGTTTGAAACATTTTCTGCACTGCGACATGAGCAGCGCTCCCATTCGTAAAGGATTGTTGTTGAGGCAGGTTGTCAGTGCGGCTTCAGAGAAAAAAAGCTTTATAATTAAACTGTCTCTGAGCACAGCCTCTTTGCGTGATTCATTAGCAGCTCACTCCTGAATCCATACAGTGAGACTGGCACACGGACAATGCCTTACCTCCTGCAGCAATATTCCCACTCATTTTTGTCAGCATTCCTGCAGCAGTATGGCTTTTGTTAAACATTAGTGAAAAAGAAAACCTGAAACTAAAGCTATTGTTACTCACTGAGCTTCAGACTTTAGTTTTAGAGCTTTTCTCTCTTGTTGTCTGTCATGTGCTATCACCTCAGTCATATGATCTAAAAGTTCTGTTTGTGTAGCCCTACACTGTGTCTCTGTCTTGTACTTATTATACACTCACACACGTTTGTTCTTGAACCCCGTGGGGACTTTCCATTGACTTCCATTCATTTTTTTAGACTTTATAGCCTAACCCTGACCATATACCCTAAAATTAACCTCACAGGTACTTACCTGACCCTAAAACTAACCTAAACCTTGGTCCTAAACCTAAACCCCCACCCATAATTTGCATTGATCCCCACGATGCACTTCGGACCCCACGAGGCAGCTTTTTATTGGGAAAGTGTTCCGCATGTTGTAGGAAACACCCACCCCCCCCCCCCAAAACACACACACACACACACGTTCTTTTATCCTTATGGGGACTTTGCAATGACTTCCATTCATTTACCAGTTATTTCTATAGCCTAACCCAGACCCCTTACCCGCAATCTGGTACAGTTATCTTTATGGGGGACCTGGCATTGACTTCCATTATTTTCTACAGCCTAACCCTGACCACCAACCCTAACCTCAACCTCACAGGTACCAGTCCCCCAAACGTAACCTCACATGTACTTACCTGATACTAAACCTAACCTAAACTCAATTCACACGTTAGTCCTAACCCGAACCCCTGACCCACAAACTGTATTTCCCCCAATGGGGGGCTTTTGTCCCCATAAAGAACAGTGGGTCCTCACCAGGCTTTATTTACTGGGGAAATGGTCAAAAATTGTCCCCATTAGGTAGCAAAAACATGTACAATACACATACACGCACTCACATCCTTTTATTGACTTCCATTAATTTTTGTAACTGCATTTATGCCTAACCCAGACATTTTCCCTAACTCTGACCAATACTAGTCTATTTCTAACCCTAACCTGAACCAAAACGTAATTCACACAATACCTCTAAACCTAACTGAGTGCAGTAGAGCTGTAAAAATACTGAGGACCAAGAAAATGTCCTCGCTTCCCAAAAATGACCTCACTTTGTTGGTTAAACACGTAACATGGTCCTCACTCTGTAGCAGAAACAAGTCCACACACACATACAGACACACACAGACAGACACCAGACTGCTTTAAGTTTCCCTCAGTTTTCACCAAACACCACTTCTGCAGCTCTAATGAGTGTACTGGTAAGGGCTAGCCTTCAGTACTGACACTCACTAACTAGGCCCATGTTTTAATTGCTTCCTGTTCTTAACTGCTGGAGACTGGAACTGTGCTGCTTAAAACAAAAAAAAAAAAGGTGAGTGGGGGTGGGGGGTTGTTGGAGGACTGGCGCTTTCTCTCTGTAGCTCTGATGAACACTTTGCGTTGTAGCTGCTGGTTGTTTGTGCAGAGTTCACTAAAAGTAGTGTGTTTTTTGCTTTTGTTCAGAAATATTTTCTTGGCCTTTGTTTTCGTAAATAATTGTCCTCACCGCTCCACCATATCTTTGTTTTGTGACAGGCTAGTTTTACTGGATTTGTTGTGGATGCATGTGTGTGCGCCTGTGTGAGCAGCCCTCTCAACGTGACACAGATTTGTTTTGACGGTTTTATGGCACCAGTCTGAAGTTATGGACGTATTTTCTGCACCCCCACACCTTCACCAGACATCACTTAACAACACATAAAGTACATACAATTACATTTTGGGTTTTCATTTTCAAGTTGCCCGTGTATAAAATTTTCACCTATTTTCTTCTTCCTGTTAAAAGTGAGTTGTTGCTTCATTTCCCCAGTTGGGCTTGTTCATGACAAGGGCCTGGCCACAGGCAAGCTGTGACCAGGAGGTGGTTGAAGGATGATAATTTTCTTTTTAAGAAGACAAATAGGCATGCTCCTTCACCGTTATTGCAAGATGGATTTAAAGCTGACCATTAATTCAGTTAAATACCCCCAGTTTGACATATTTAGGAAGTGACATAGTGTAGATAAAAAACCCCTCCCTGTTGGTCCTCCATTGTTATTATAGTCCACTGATGTGGTCAGAGCATCTGGTTTATTAGATTTCCCTCACTGTGACACAGGTTGGTTGGAGCACAGCAAGGGACTATTACACATTCCTGTGGTCGCCTCTCCCTGAGAACTACGTGGAAGGCACCGCAGTCAACAGAACCGTGGTCTTTCAGGGTAAGATCATACCATCATTTTCTATAACTTTGACACCTTTTAATAATCACACATAAGAGAGCTGTTCAGAGGACTGTAAAAGGTTTTAAGACTGAATATGTGAATATTGGGGGAAGTGTAACACTATCCCCTCACATCTATGTCGTGGTGTTAACTACATCTGAGTTTATGTGTGTGTGTTTTCTTTTAACTGCTCCTCATAAGGAATATAAAGTGGATGAAATGGAAGAAAAATGCATTAGATTTGGTTTTTAGAGCTGAACCAAGTTCACTTACTGAACTTTCAAAATTATTTTTAGCTCTTGATAGTAAATGTGTGCTCGCCATTTGAGTGTGTTTTTTTTCTTTAGGATATTATGTGCCCAATGATGACGGTGAGTTCTACCAGTTTTGCTACGTTACCCACAAAGGGGAAATCCGGGGGGCTAGCACACCATTCCAGTTTCGTGCCAACAGCCCCTCGGAGGATGAGCTGCTGACGGTTGAGGATGAATGCAACTCTGACATCCTCGTCGTTACCACCAAGGCCGGCTTCCTCGAGGTGCTTTAACTTCACGCACACACATTATTTCTCACAAGCTCACCCATTTCTTCCTCGTAAATGAGTTTGATTCAGAGATTCTAACGTTCTGCCACACTTATTATTATTTTCTTGTTTATTGATTCTGTTGTTCTGCACACTTATTATTATTTTCTTGTTTATTTCTTTGTGCAGCAAAAAGTGGAAGAAGCTCAAAAAGAAAGGGATGAGCTCCTCAGAAACATGGCCCTCCTGCAGCAGGAGAAGGAGCAGCTGGAAGCGGAGAAGGAGAGCCTGCAGAAGGAGTGTGAGCAGGAGAAAGAGATCTGTGCCCAGCTGAGAAGAGAGAGCCAAGTACGTTCAGTCTGTTTTTTTGTCAGCAGTATGAAAAGAAAAAGCCATAATTGTTACATTTTTTAAACTTATCCATTGAATAAAACTAAATATACTGTTGTATTTGCTGTAGACATGGTAGTTAAGATTGGCAGCAGATACTGAAATCATTCATTTATAGTTTTACCATTCTTGTTTTGGCCGTACAGTCTCTTAGCACCCCCTAGTGAAGCCTTCCAAACACTCAGCGATCCAAAGTCGTGATACACAGGAAGAGTAAATCACGCTCCGACAAATATAAATGTCTACATTATCAAAGTTGTCGTTCCAATTTTTATAGCGTAACATTAAGTCTTAAAAGCACTGTCAGTAATAATTCATCTTGCCGTCCCGTGCCGTAAATCTTTTGGTTTTAAAGGTTTTGCAGATGAAAATATGATTACAGCCTTTGTGGCTGTTAATTTTATGACTTTATTTTTATATGATTTTTTTTAAATGTGCTGTGGATATAATAAATACAAATTTCTTCCCATAAGCAAATTGTAAAATTTTTTTTATTTTGTTTTTCTTTTTTTATGTCATTTTCAGAGTTCAAGACTTTTCTCATGATCATAACTTTTTATTTTGATTTAGACATGCATTTCAAAGACAATAAAGTTTTATGCTTTGCGTGCGTTTTCCACAAGTTTAGAATTCGAGACTCAAATGGAAACCTGCCTACTTCAAGCACGAACTGCTACTTTGTAATTTAAACTTTTAATTCATGTAGATTCGTATTGGTCTTGGCAGAAATTTGTAGTCTGCTACTAGTCTTAGGTTTAAGAATTATTCATGATAAAAATCACTAAATGGAAGTTTATAGTCATGTTTTATTTGGTTGTTTGTCTCACAGGAGGCGCAGCATTCATCCCAGGCCCTTCAGGAGGAGAAGGAGGAGGTGAGGAGGAGGCTGGAGGAGGCCACCGCCAGAATCGTACAGTTGGAGGAGGATTTGATTGGAGTCACACAAAAGGGCCTTCAAAAGGAAACTGAGCTTGACACGTGAGTTGCTGCAAATGCCAATAAATTGCAGGTTTTTATGTTATATTTGTACTGTAATTGTGATGTAATCATACTCAATAAATAATGTATTAAAAAAGGACTAACATGTTTCGTCACGTTTTCTCTAGTCTGAAAGATAGGGTGAAGAAAATCACAGTAGAGAAGGAGGCTCTTGAATCTCACCTGAAGAATGAGAAAGACGAGAAGGAACTTTACAAGGTAACGTCATGCTAAAGCTAACGCTAGTTTCTTTTTAGGTCTTAACAAGGTTGCGTTTTCATTTAACAAATAAATCAGTATAATGATATCAAACTTTAATGAACACAGCAGGGATGCATGATATCAGCAAAAACTGACGTGATTTTTTTTCTAAACCCGCGACACGAAAAAATACAGGAATTTTCAACAGATGACTCAATATTTTAAGTAATGCTGCCATGTTGTTGATGAAAAACCACTGATCTTAATTTTTTGTTTGTGTTACAAGTTAGATTTTTGTCTGTATTTGTGAGTTATTTTAGTTTATTGTTCTGGGACCTGAGCACATGTTTCCTTCTTTCATGTCTATGAAACCTGAATTGCTTTTTATCGCCTAACTTGTTGCCTCTGTGTCTGTTTCTGCCATGCTTTAATGTATTTTTTCCTTCAGTTCTCAGCAAATTTGCTCATTTTCCTCATTTTCATCAGGATCCACGTCGTCTTTCTCCGCAGCTAAAGAATTCACAGACACTTCTCCCAAAAAAACGTTGCCGTTATTGACTCAAAAGTTTCACAACAAAATGAAAGTTTTAGCTTTTTTTTGACACTTTCTCTGACGGAACCAACCCTTCAAAATAAGAGCTGTAACACACAACCGTTTAGTGCAATTAGGGCTGCAGCTGACGATTATTTTAGTAATCAGTTAATCTGTCGATTATTCTCACGATTAATCGAGTAATCGGATATTAAAAAAATATGCTCTGCAATAATTACTTAAGCTTATTTTTTATGAGAAATACAATTATTTAATATTGCGAAGGGGTAATTACACTTGCTGATGACCCTGCTGCAGTCAAAGTAAAATTACAATACCAGTTGTATTCATTCATGTATTTTAAGCTCCACTTGTTTGTATTTATGTGTGTGAGGTTTGAGGAGGCATTAATTAAAAGCACTCTGATATTGAATCATGATTATAACAGTATGTATTTTTTACGAAGCTTCGAGGCAGATAATTTGCCTCAATGATTTTTGTAATCGAATTACTCAAATTATTCGAGGAATCTTTTCAACCCTAAGTGCAACGATTGAGTGATTTAGTCCCTAGATAACACGTTGATTTAGTTTGCCTCCAACATCGCAGGACCTGTGTTGTGACTACTGTGAACATGTACATTGCGATGTTGATGCTCAAACGATACATTCAGCTCTAGTTCAAAGCCACATATTTTGGTATCATGGTCATTCTGTGAATAAAGTTTGAAGTGGAATGTTAAATAGTTCACTTGGTGACAGTTTTACAGTCCAGACAAATCACTGCAACATTATTTTAGAATAACCAAATTTAGTTTCTCAACATTTTTTTCTGAATTTTTCTCGTTTTCCACTTCCTGCGTCTGGGTTTATTGTGTGTAGTGGAATCTTTTAGGCTAAACAGGGCATGCCTTATTCTGTCTGCTGCTGCGCCTGCTGTTTGTGCGTCTTGTGTTGTGGTGGGCGCTGCTCAGGAAGTGGGAGATCCACGAACTGTAGTGTCGCCACAGAAATGGAGCTAAAAGCCAATATCTAATTTAACCTGCGCCACCACACCGGGGTTGTTGCTGACGGACAACTTTATAGGCCCGCCTTAATCTCTGTCTTGTGATTGAGGTCATGCAACATTTGTTTTAATAGTCTCATTTTAATACGCGCTTCGATCCGTGAGCGTGAACTGCGTTGTGCAACTGAACCAAGGAAAAAAGTTTTTTCTTATAAACCTGTGGGATATTTTACTGCTTCTGTTGTGTGTGTAAGAGAGGTGTCTGTGTTTTTGATTTGTGTTTATTTTTATTTTTTTGCAAATGAATCAGATTCACCTGAAAAACCGGGAGCTTGAAAACACCAAGCTGAGTGCTGAGCTGCAGATGCTGAAGTCAGTGGATGTAAACAAGGAAAACACCATTGCTCAGTTTAAAGAGGAGGTGGGCCGCCTGCAGACATGCCTTACAGAGAAGGAGAAACAATACAGAGAGATCCTGGCCAAACTTTCCCCCTTGGTATAAATAACTTTTTTTTAAATTAAGAATTTACACAAAAGTAGAATCAGCCACATTATGTTAAACTTTCAAGTCTATTAAATGGAAAATCCGGACTGCAAAAACTGTCCACCTAACCAAGTTTTAAAATCTTATATCCTGCCAAAAAGTCTTTTTGATCTTGTTTTGAGACTGATTTACTAAACAAGAACTGATTGTGTAAGAATAATCATCTTGTTTTCAGAATGTGTAAGATTATTTGTCTTGTTAGCCAGAAAATTTGACTCAAATTAAGTCAAAACTTTCTGCCAATGGAGTAAGAAAATTTTACTTGGTAAGATGCTTAAAATACTTGATTTGACTCAATTTTTTCTTATTTCAAGAATCTTAACAAGTAAAATTTTCTTACTCCACTGTCAGAAATGTTTGATTTACCGTAATTTGAGTCAAATTTTCAGACTAACAAGACAAATAATCTTACACATTCTGAAAACAAGAATAATATTCTTACACAATCAGTTCTTGTTTAGTAAATCAGTCTCAAAACAAGATCAAAAATACTTTTTGGCTGATATAAGATTTTAAAACTTGGTTAGATGGACAGTTTTTGCAATGATGATGTTTGTTAATTAGACATTTATATTAAGCGTACATTTTGTGTAACTATTTGCCTCTGGCAGGGAGACCTGAAGGCCCTGAAAGAGCAGCTCCGGCAGAAAGAGGAGCAGCTCCAGGCCAACCAGCAGCAGTCGTCTCTGCTGGCTGCTGAGCTGAGAGACGCCTCCAGCACTCGAGACCGCACCATGTCAGAGCTGTACCACATGAAGCTCGAGGCGGATGCACTTCGCAAGGCCAAAGCCGACGCTCAGGCTCAATGTGTCTGCCTGGAGCTGCTGGTCGAGCAGATGAAGGCAGAAGCCAAGCAGGAAGCGGTGAGGATCAGAACCCATGAGACGGTCAAATGGGCTAGGTGCTGTGTTTACTGCGAGCCCATTAAGAAAAATGTTTTACTCTGTTATTTACTAAACATTAGTCAAACATTGTTCTCATAAATATTTCTTTTATTTATTCATAGCTGTAGTAGTATTTTCTATTAGCTTGCTAATGCTGTTGATGTCTTTTATTTTTTTAATAAACAGGCTAAAGTGGAGGAAGAAGCGTCCACGGACCCGGCTGTCATGGCAGAGCTACAGAGAGAGGTGGAGGACCTGAAGCTGCGGCTCCACATGGCTGCAGAGCACTACAAGGAAAAATACAAGGAATGCCAACGACTGCAGAAACAAGTGCTCCGACTTTCTGAACATCAAGGGGTAGGTTCAACCATCCACTGTGTTTTAGTCACGTCAGCTAAAGTGAAACAACAGGGCTCTTATAAGACTTTGCGAAACATTATGTCTGCTAATTAAAACCTAATAAAACACAAGATTAAAAGATTTAGAATTACACAAATTTATCCTCATAAGCATTTTATACACTGTGTATATATA